TCTAAACAAGTCTCTCCTCAAAACACCTAAGCCAATTTCTTATTATTTAATTTCCATGGGTTTTGTTCATTGGCTCCCAGTAGGTCAGTGGTTTTGCCAGTGACAGAGTTCCCTGTTCTTGGTCTTGTATGACAGCCAGCATTGCTGTCCTCTTTGGGACTCGACCTTTTTGGTAATGTATCCAGAGGCCTTTTGCTTACCAGGTTGCAAATAAAAATGCAGATGCATGGACTAGGAAAGAACTTGACTTCCAAGTTCAATGAGGCAGGGCTGGGAAGAGAACACAAAAAGGCCTGGCCTATCAGGGCAGAGGAATTGGTAAGAAGGCTTTCAGCCCTGACAATGGTCCACAAAGGAGCTGGGAGCTGCTTTTCACTGATGTCAGGCTCTTGAAGGTGGAATGGCTGATCATGTCCAGCCACATTAAATGTGTAATTTTAGAAATGTGATCAAACTGACTTCCTGCCAGACCTATGAAGCAAATTCCCCAGGGGGCTGGAGGGCCTTTTTGGTTTCCACTTTTGATTCTGTGGTAGGTTGATCTGTTCTTTGAGATAGAGAGAGAGATTTGATTTACCCAGTCTTTTCAATCAAAAAAATTGATACATTGACAGGACTGGTTATGGTGGTAGCAGCAGCAGGGTAAGTAATTAAAAAGTCTAATTTTTCTTTCTTTCCAAAGCACTAGCCCCTAAATTGAATGGGTCCCCATGGGCTTGAAAGCAGACAAAGTTTTAAAAGAACTTTTATTTAAAGTCCAACAATGGCTTTGGTGTGCTCTGATGTTGGAATGTTGGGAGGAATCTTTCTTTCCCAGGAGTCAATGCTCTGGACATTGAAGGACTGGAGAGATGGAGGATTGTATTGGTTTGCTAGGACTGTCATAACAAAGTACCACAAACTGGGTAGCTTAAAACAACAGAAAGTTATTCTCTCACAGTTCTGGAGCCAGAAGTCCCAAATCAAGGCATCATCAGGGCCTTGTTCTCTTTCCTAGGGGAGAATCCATCCCATGCCTCTCTCCTAGCTTCTGTGGTTGCCGGCAACCCTTGGAAATCCTTAGCTTGCAGATGCATCCCTCTGATGCAGTATGGACTCAACTTGATTGCATCTGTAAAGACTCTATTTCCAAATAAGGTCACATTCACAGGCACTAGGGATTAACTTCAACATAACTTTTTGGAGGACACAATTCAACCCATGACAGGGACCATAGTCTACAGTAGGAAGACGGGACTGCCCATGGTTCCTGGGGGGCTTACGTCCATGTTTAGGAAGAGGTGAATTACCTGGCTTTCCTTGGATAGTCTGTTTGAGGACATCAAGCGTTGGTCCTACAGTTGCCCAAAATCTTAGCTATCAGACTGGTCATTCAGTCCAAACACCAGGTTGTTGGGGAAATGAGAGCCCTCTCCACAGAGGGGAGAATTCATCTTTGAATTAACTTTGTGATGTGTGGAAAGAGCACTCAACTTGGAATCAGAAATATCTGGGTTCCGGCTTGCCTAACTGCTTACCTGCTCCATAACTTGAGAGCACATTAACAAACTTCTTTGGCCCTCAATTTACATTTCTATAAAAATGAGATATAAAGTAATTTACACACCACAATTTTATAACAAGCTTAAGTGAGAAAAAGGGGTGTGAAAGAGTTTTGCAAATTATCAAACTTTTTTTTCAACAAATGAAAATTCTCTTTCTCTCCCTCATCTGGGGCAGAACCTTTGATAATTCTGTTTTAAATGTTGATCTGATTCTTCCCACACCCAGAGTGGGCAAACATGAATTAAAGTTGGGCAGAATACATCTGCCTCTGTGGCTCTAGAACTCAGGTGATCAAAACCCCAGTGGCCTCAATCTCCTAGCACCTGGAGCTACTGGTTGGAACGGATTTTTATCTGGGTAGGTAATTAGAGCCCAATCCTTTAGTCAAGCCTATAAATAAGTCTTAAGATGTCAGAGCTGATGATAAAAGGAAAAAAAAAAAAAAAAGGCTTTCTTTAGATGTCCTCCCTCCTTCAAAGCCTTGGAGGAGGAATGTGCGGCTCTCTGCTTGTCGATGATGAAATTAGCGAGCTCCCATCATTCAAGACAAGAGGCGAGAAAGAGCTGGAATCTGATACCAAATGCCACTGAAGAGAATATATTTTACACAACATAAAAGGCCCCAATGTAAATTAGAAGAAATATGGGGAGACTTCAAAAAGGTAGGTCAAACTTTTTCCTCAAGCAGATAATTACAGGCTGGGGGTGAGTAAATCTTATTAGCCTCTCTCCACCTCGTCTCTTCTCATAAAACACCAGTGAAAAGAAAGCTATACTCAATTCAGGACTGGACAGCTTGCCTGAGAGGGCTGGGCTGCTGCTGTCTATCATGATGCCTGTGGTTGTGGATGCCTACTCTTGTCACCCCCTCCTGTCTTCCCCTCCAGAATGTCTCCTCCTGCCTCCTCCCCAGAACTAAGTGAAGACAGACAGCCAGGCAGAAAGCTCCACCACTCAAGTGCCCACATCAACTTGCTGAGACTTGGTTACTTCTCACTGTCTGAAGAACTATCCCTTCAGGCGGCAATTTTCCAGTCAAATTTCTCTGCCCAAGTCTGAGGCCTTAAAATTAATGAAGTTGTTAACATTTCTTAAAATGTCTCTCATGGCAGTTGAAAGGTGTATATTTATCACCAATGAATCTGCTGGCCTCTTTGCTTCATAGAGACATGTGGGCTGAGCCCTCACAAACATCCTTAAGGGGACAGGAGTCTTGGCCTTCAGTTTGCTCTACAATGGGTCTTGGGGTGAGTCCTCAACCTCTGTGCTCTGGGGTTAGCCCCCAAAGGCACCTTTTGTGTCAATGGGTCTAGCAGCCTATTGAATTATTTCTCTGGTCTATGACCTCTGAGAGAGCAAGACTAAGTTTTGCACTTGTATCACCTCTGGCATCTGGCACTGGACCAGGCACACAGAGGTGGTTGGGGGGGCAGGTGGGTCTTTATGGGTCTCAGCTGAGTTAAATATAGGAAGAAGATGAAAAGGCTCTGAAATTACCACCACACTCATTCAAGGAGCCGTCAACTAAGAATAAGCTCTTCCCACTCTGTGAATCAATAGCAATAATGGTGCTGACTTTGGCATTCTCACTGAGCATTTGGGCAATGTCTGGCCGATGGTTTGGGTCCTCTCCTCTGCTAAGAAGGGAAATCATGAGGATTCTAGGCCACAAGGAGAGTTTAAAAGGGACCTTAGGGATCTTCCAGATCTACTCCTTTGCTTAGGCATCATGCCACTCCACCTTCATCTTACAGAAAAGAAAGATGAGGACCAGGGTGAGGAAGTAGGTGTATGAGGGCCAAGTAATGTTAGGTAGCAGTTAATAAACTCCAGTGGTTTTCCCCTGTCAACTTATAACTGGTATAACTTATAACTGTGGATGCTCCACAGAAAACACAGTGCTGTCTGTGTCATGCAGGAGGTAGACTTACCTTTTTTGGACATTCTGCATTTTATAAAAGTTGTCATCCTGTGTAGATACTGAATGACTTTGAGAGCAAATTCAAAAATGTTATCCAAAGACTGGTTTTATCACAAATCTAGTTAGAAGGCAATAACAATACAAAGGGCTAGATTTCAATTATTTATAGACACTTGTCCTTATCATAAGATGACACTCAATGTCTGGCTTAAATAAAATCAAGAAGTAATTCTTATCTGGAATCTCCTGACAACTACCGATCTTCCTTTCCCACTGGGGAGGCTTTAGTGTACCAGGAATGTTCCAGCAGAATATAATCCGAAAGTGCCCTAAGGTTTTGATGCATTTATTCTTTTAAGTTTGAAATGAAAGATATAGCTATTATTAACCAAGACTAACCGCATTATGGATGACGGACAGCAGTGAGTGGAAGATCTCAGTTAGGTGCATTTTTAAAAGCTCAGGCCCAAGGGCAGAGACTGAGCATCAGGAATAGGTAAATATGCCCAGAAGGGAATCTAGAACTCAGTGCTGTACTGGCTTCATAAATACTTAATTGAATCAGGCTGATGAGTGAGTTCTATCTCTGGAGGGCTTCTGCACAATTCATCACGCACAACCTCTATGAGTGTCTTCTATGTGATGGGATAAAGTGAAGAACAAACACAACTTTGTGCCTGCCCTCACAGCGTTCACTCCAGAGGAGTTCAAGAGAAAAAAAAATGTCCACCTGGAAATACATCAGCTCTCCTCCAAACCTGCTCTTTCCTCTGCAGAAGCCCAGCTCCTATGAGCTGTTAGGATGAGCACGGAGAATGAGGAATACTACACCATGTAAATATGGCCTCCCGAGGGCTCCCAGGACAGGACCTAGAAGGCTGAGTAGGTGGCCCCCTGGGAGAAAAAATGAACATAAAGGAAGAACTCTGGTTTTGTAGTTAGAGAATCCTCTCTGTGTGATCTGATTAAGTCAGTCTCCACATCTGTGAAAACGGAATGGAACCTGGCCTCCTTACCTCCAAGGTTGTTGCAGAATCAAATGAGCTGAAATAATATCTAGAAACACACCTGGGTACCTTTAAGGAGCTACCCAAATGTAAGAGAGTCATTTGCAGGGTCCCAGAAGACCTGCGACCCTCATAATAATAATACTCTCTCAAGAGATCACCATTGTTAGAAATACTCGTGAGTTAGAGCCCTCTATTTAGAAAACCACAGTAAAAATGCAAATAAGCATTGCATCCAATGATTGGTAAGGAGATGTCAGGAATACTAGACACCATAAAGGCTGGGGGGAGGAGGGAGCAGGATATGGTGGCAACAAAGCCCTTGGCTTCCTCCAGGATACAGAATGCAGCTGTCTGTCTGGAGAGGGCAGGTCTGGCTGGAATGGTTTGGTAGAGTTGGGTACCAATGGAAGACAAAGGACACAGAAGGCCTTCCTCTGAGAAGGGCCTAAGGGATGCCAGAGAGCCATGAGTCACAAACAGAGGTGGTGACTGCACATCACAAATAACTATAAAAATGTACTTACCATATCGACTGCGATGAGACAGGAAAGGAAAGGAATCTTTCATTATCCAGGTCAGATTCCATGCAAAAGAATCAGGAGGAAGAGAAGGCAGGTTTGTTGGTGACTCCAAGAAGCTGTGACCTGGACACAAAAACAAAGAGAACACTGATCCATGTGTGTGGGATATATCTTTTAACTGTCACTCATATTGCTTGTAAAGGAAAGTTTGTAAAGGGCTTTCATTACATCCACTAGAAAATGAGGGGAAAAAAAAGACTGAGCCACTAGTAGACTTAATTGACGTCAGGACCTCAGTGTACATTTTCCACCCGGGGCAGCCAGATCTAAGAAGCCTGAACTTCGTGACCAAGGCCATGCCAAAGATCTCTGGGAGATGAACTAGAAGCCAAGCTACTTAACAGCTTGTTCTACTAGCTCTCTCCAAAGCCTATCCTACCTATAAGAATCTGTGCAACTTTATAGAGAACTTCAATTCATCTCATCCAAATAATGCCTCCATTTTACTTTATGTTCAGACTTGTAACTTCATCTAATGTTGTTTGCTTGTGTTATTGCCCTATCAATGAGAGGGATGAAACTGCACTCAGAAGTTATGAGTTTTTGGCAATTATGTTATTTTCACAGGGAATAAAAGCTAGGTGATGGGTTTTCCCACAGTCCAGAGTCCAGGGAGCCCCACAGGATTAACATTTCTGATTTGCAAGCGAGAAAAAAGGGTTGAGAGAAAAAGAAAGAGGCAGCATTATGCCATTGTTTTAATAGTACCTCAAGTGAGTTTGTGTGGTGAAAAGTAATTATAATATATCTACAAATCAAACTAACACACACTGCATGGTCTTACGTAGTTCTTCCCAGAAAATCCCCAATTCAATCAGTATTTGCTAATGTTTTATGGCAGGCAAAGCTTTTTCTGTTAAAGAAGGAAGGGTTTTGAGAATCGGTTCTGTTTGGTAGATAGATGCGTAGCAAGACTGAGTGTGGGGAGGAAGGAAGGAAGGGAACTAGGATTTCTTCTGAAGCTTCCATGGGTCAGGCACCATGCGAGGCTCTTTACCCACATAATCTCACATTGTATTCACAGTGGCTCTCTGAGATAAGCATCATCATCCCATTTTACAGATGCAACAACTGAGGCTCAGAGGAACAAATGATGGAATCAGGAACTGAACCCAAGTTTACCTAGCATCAAAAAGGCATGCTCTACCATGAGTGGGCTGGCTTGCTACTCAAACAGTAACTCTTAAACCACCTGGAGTGACTTGGTGAAAAGAAAAAAGAGGAAGAAGAAAAGCAAGATGAAAATGAAGCAGCAGCAGCAGAAACATTTTTCCAGCCTGTGCTCTCTGTAGTCTCTTCCACATCACCTCCAGCAGCAGCTCCTCCGGGCCCTAGGCTCCTGCCTCCAACCCCCTTTTAGTATCAACCGCTCTTCACGTGTTTTAAGAAAATCACTAGCCTGGAGGACCATGACAACCTTTTGTTTCCAGATCCCTAACAGTACAGCTGCACTTGGGTAAAGCTGACCACAGGACCATGTGCCCCCGCAGGTAGAACAGGATCGGCATTCTATGGTCTCCTTCCTAACAGAAACACTCTTATCTCTGCCTTCCAAAGATCTGAGTTACAAGTGCTGGGTCCTGAGTACAAGAAAAGAGTTTTTGACTGTTCTATGTATGATATAAAGAGATCAGAATTACCTTGAGGGAATTATGTTAAGTGAAATAAGCCAGTTAGAGAAGGATAATCTCTGTATGACTCCACTCATATGAGGAATTTAAAAATGTGGACAAAGAGAACAGATTAGTGGCTACCAGGGGAAAGGTGGGGTGGGGGGGTGGGCACAAAGGGTGAAGTGGTGCACCTACAACACGAATGACAAACATTAATGTACAACTGAAATCACACAAGATTGTAACCTATCATGAACTCAATAAAAAAAAAACTCACAGAATATGCATAAATTTAGAATAAAAAGAAGAAAGTACCTCTGCATTTAACAAACGCAGGGAAGAGGCTCTCTGTTCCCTTCACACTCCCTCTCCTCCCCTACCTCACTCTTGGTGGGAAGGGGGTATCTAGCGCAGGGAAAAGTGAGGCCATGAGAAGCAATCCATGTAAGCAAGAGAAAGGCTTGGTTTCTTGCTGCTTCATTGTGAAAATGTGAGGATCCAGAGTGAAGTGGGCCTCAGCAGCACAGCTTTAGGGGAAGAAGGCGTGAATGAAGACCTGCTGGCTGCAGTAGAGTGTAACTTGCACCCTGGGGAAGAGGGGTGGAAAAGAAAGGAAAGGTGAAAGTAGGAGCAAGAGTTTCCAGGTGCCCAAGTGAGGCTGACCAGTAATGGCCAAGACCGCTAAGGAGAGAAGAGTAAAGAAATGCACTCTGGACGGTGGCGTTATTGATTGGCTACAGACAAGATCGTTTTAGGGATTTTTTTTCTGGTGATATCCTGAGCCCTTTCCAGACAGTGCACGGTGTCCAGGCAGAGTGAAACCTCCAACCTCTTGATGCTATTCTTTCCACCGTGTATCACCCTCTGGTGTCCTTGGCCTAGATTTCAGGTTCATCACTATGTTAATTCCCTTGCAGACAACTACAACTCCTGCCTCTTTCCTCCTTCACAACTGTCCTGAGTTGCTGAATGTGGTGGTGGGAGAGGAATGGGGCTGAAGGGGAGGAGGAATACACCAGGATGACGCAAGTCTCACTTTAAATTCATGACCACAGACCTCAAGAGGACCCTCAGGACTGCCCAGGAATCCTACTGCATTCCCTGACCCACTGAATTCACCCTCTCTCTCTCCAGCACCATTACTTTGAAATGTCTCTTACTCCTCAAACCTCCACTTCCCCCTATTCGTCCACATTCTCAGCTAGGCATCGTTTCTCATGTCACTGAGGGAAAAAACCAAATCTACCAACTTACAAGTACTGGTACCTGTATACACTACTTTCTCTCCTGTTAAAACAGATATACTGCCTATTCTGGTGAGCAGTGGCCGCCCCTCCACTTAGGTGCTTATCTCACCCATCCTCAAGGAATGTGCTGTTATAATTGTCCCCCTTTCTCCTGGATCAACAATTCTGCCCCCTCTACCAAGTCAATCTCATCTGCAGCAAACATGTACCATCTTAAAAAAGAAAAAGAAAAAACATCCTTGACCTCCACTCTCTTCTTTAGCCATTGTCCCAATACTCTGCTCTCCTTTACAGCTAAATCTCTTAAAAGATTTGTCTATGCTCCTGTCTCCACTTTCTCTTTCCTATTTTCTCTTGAACTCAATAAAATCAAGATTATCTCCACTACTCCAGTCCAAGGTCACCAGTCACCGTGATCCAAGTTGCAGATACAATGGACAGTCTTGGTCGGTCCTTATCTTACTAACCTCGCAGCAGCATGTAACCCTGCCGACCCCTCCCTGCTTCTTGGATTCCTCACATCTTGGTGACCACATGGTCCTTAGTTGCCACCGTCCTTCGCTCCTACTTCAGTGGCAGGTCCTCTTTACTCTTCTTTGCCAGATCCTCCCCATTTTCAAGGGTGTACAGAAGGAACATTCTCCACTTTCCAGTAGCAATTACCTAGGAGATTTCACGGCTGACTATTGTATTTCATCACAGTGATTTTAAACAGCTTTTAATGATCAATGACCACGAATTTCAAGTGACCCCAGGACACCAGCATCTTCCTTGACCTCACTGAGATTGTTGACAAATGCAGAAGGGACTTGTTTTAACCAAGCACGTACAGACTTATGAACTCATTCTCTCCTGTCCAAAGTGCTGATTTTCAATTCCAAATTAGCATGCCCACTGTGTAACCCTCTTCTTAAGGCTTTCAAAAACTCTGACTTTTCTTCCTTAACTACGCAGTGAATTTTTTCCTTGCCTGACATGTTAATAAGATCAGCTTTTTTTTTTTTTTAAACTCTGGGGGCGGGGGGGGTCTTTGTTTTATTATTTGACAGTCGGTAAAAGTTGGGGAGCTTGCGCCCTTCCTCTTCTCCATCCAAACTTACTCCCAAAGCAGTCTCATCCAGTGTCATAGCGTTAAATGCCATCTATATTCTAATGCTATTGAATTTCTATCTTCAGACCCAACCTCTCCCATGAACAGTAGAATATATATCCAACTGCCAGTCTGAAATCTCCATCTGATTGACTGATGAGTAGCTCAAACTTAACACATGCAAAAATAAACACTAGATCTCCCTCCACCTACACCCCAGGCATTCCCCATTTCTGAAAGTGATGATAAAACTCTCCTGGTTGCTTGGACCAAAACCAAGGAGGAATCCTCGACTTCTTTCTTTTTCCCACACCCCACATCAATTCATGAACAAATCTGATGGCTCTACTTGAATTTTACCCCTTCTCATCTCTCCCCCATCACCTCTCACCCTGACTACCGCTATAAGCTCCCAGCTAGACTCCCTGCAGCTACTATTGTTCATTTTCAGTGTGTTCTCCACACGGCAGTTAGATTGACGCTTCAGCCCTGAAATAGCTTTCACATTTCTTGCTGTGGCCCAGCCCTTGAAGGCCCCATGATCTGGCCCCTGCTTCTCTCTCTGCCTCATTTCCAACCATTTTTTCCTTGCTTGTGGAGCTCCAGCCCCATAGGCCTGCTTGCTATTCCTCAAACTCGCCAAGCACACTCCTGCCTCAGGGCCTTTGCACTGGTGGTTCTCTCAGCCTTAAAAAACTCCTCTCTCCCAGAGGCACGTGTTCATTCCCTCTCTCCATCCAGGTCTCTGCTCAAATGTCACCTCCTCAGAAAGAACTTCCTGATCATCCTGTCAGAAACAGCACAGCCCATAACCCACCCTCTATCCCCTTGCCCTGCATTTATTATTTCTTATATTTAATTTCACTTGTTTATTGCATACCTCCTGCACTAGTCATTGCTACAGCCCCATGTCTGACACACAGTAGGCACTATGAAATAAATATTGAGAAATAAATATTTTTCAAATGAATGAAATCAGCCCTCGATAAAATTATTAGCTCTGGCACTTATTAGCTGTTGAACTACAGGCTAATCACCTACTCTGTGGAACCTCAATGTTCTGTAAATGATGATAAGAACAAGAATAATGTGTGGTCTACCGACTTGCAGGGT